TGAGAGGAGGCGGGCGGCGGCGGGAAGGAGCCGAAGATGGCTTCGCCCGCGCCCCCCGCGCCGGGAGGCGGCCCCTCGCCCCCCGCCGGCCCGCCGCGCCTTCGCCAGGTGGGTGCTCCCCTGCGCGGGCGGCAGGGCCGGGGGGATCCCCGCTGCGGGGCTGGGGGGCGACCCGCGGGATCCACCCCCTGGAGAGAGAGAGAGAGAGAGAGAGAGCGGGCGGTGTGTGGGGGGGGTACGGAACCCGCGGGATGCGGGGAGGGGCGCGACACAGGGATGCGAGCGGCCCCGAAGCGCTTCGGTGGGCAGGTGGATGATGGAGCGGTGGATGGATGGTTCTTTATTCTATTCAATAATAATAATAAACTCAGTAAATTAACCCCGAATCCTATCACCACCTCCAAATCGTCCCAGGCGGCACCTGTGCAGGTGTGCGTGTGTGTGTGCCCGCGCAGCCACACGCAGAGGGGAGTGTGAGCACACGCGTGTGCGAGTTCCCAGTGGTGCAGCGCCGTGCGTGTCGTGTGCTGCATCACCGCGGTGGCACGGCGGGGCCAAAGGCATGAATAAAATCTTAATTAACGTAATGCAGCAATTTCCAGGAGGCTCTTGCTGCATGCAGAGCTTTTCCGCTCGCATCTCGCTCCCCGAGTAAAGACAGAGAGCTCCGGCTTTTGCGGCGGCTGCTGCATTAATTTACATTTGGAATGGTGAAGTTGGTCGCGGGAGTTGTTGGGTGTTCTCGACCTGGGAAGGCCCAGCTGCTGCTGGGTGTCTGGGGAGTTCGTTCCACGAGCACTTCGTGCCTCCTGAAAACGGGAGAGAGGCAGAAATGGAGGGACGTGGTGCTGGTGTGTTCAGCTTGCCCTTCTCTGCTAAGGCTGTAACGTTATGGTGATTATTAATAAAGAAAAAAAGATTAATCAAGGAAAAGCTGTTGTAAAGAAGGATTCCCGGTGAGTAATCAGATTAGCATAGTGTGTATGTACTGAAACATAAATCCAAATATAAATCCCATCCTGCTCTTTTTTTTTTTTTTTT